AATTTCCCAAAAAAAAAATGTTAACGAGATTGATAAAAGCTCGATTTCACTGAAAATTTACCAAAACAAATCTTAATCAACTTGCGAATATTCTTTCATTATACCATCTTGCTCACCAAACAAATCATACCTAATGATAACTATAAATACAGCCTAAACTTGCATTTAAACAAACTATTTTAAAAGTGAGAACGATAAAACTGTAAGTGAAACTTTTATAAATATAAACATTATAGTTTAGTTTTGGTTGTCTTTTTTTTTTGTAACGATGTAGTAGTAGTGAATATGTGAGAATGATAATCATGTAATACTGAGAAAAAAATTGTTGTTGTTGTAGCTAGATTCATATTTTATTTTATTATATTTTAAATTATTAATTAAATAGTATTTTAATAATTGCTTTTAAATTAAAATTCCAACTACAATGATAAACAAATTTAATACAATAATTCATCATAGATTATAAATATATATGAATTTTTGAAATAATATTCACAAACTAAAATCATGTATCTAAAAGTTTTTAGGGTTGATTTAAATGTATAGCCCTAGAAGAACAAAAAATAAAGAATCTAGGTATGATAATTTTTTATTTAGTTCTCTCTCACTGACTTAAACTAGTGTCAAAAATATGCTTTATTATTTATATCAGCTAACAAAAAAATTAACAAGATAAAAACATTATTCATCACACTCATATCATGCTAAACGATTGCTTATGTGATAAACATATATATACTTATCATGTTAAATCATTTGTTATTCGATTGATATTAGCTAACAATTTAGTTAATACATTTTTAAAAATGAGTGCGTAGTTAAACAAAAAACAAAAAATAAGGAGCCAATAATCCAAAAATTAGTTCTCTCACCTGATTTGATATAGCCAACAAAAAAAAAGATATGTAACACTGTTCACCCGTAATTAATAGAATTCAATAATTTATTTTTAAACATGTTAAATAATCTGTTGTCGCGATAATTTACATATTATCGATTAAATTAATACTAAAACTATTCATCCGTGATTGACAGAATTCGATGACACCTTTCATCCATGATTAATAGTATTTGATAACTTATTTTTAAACATGTTAAATAATCTGTTATCGCGATAATTTATATTTTATCCGTTAAATTAATATTTAATGCTATAAATTTGAAAATTAATATTTTTTGACATTGTATATTAAAAAGACTGTTTCTTTTGCCTTCGACTACTCTGTTTGGAAACACAATTTATCAACAGGGATGTATGTGAATATTTATTTGATTAACAATGTAAAGTATATTATATCGGGATAAGTTACAATTTCTGTGATAAACTTAAATTTATTATGTTAAATCATGTAGTATATAACATATGTAAATTATTGAGTTATATAAAAAATGTAATAAATATTAAATTTTTCAATATTGTTATTAATATTAGTTATCTTATATATTACCATGCTTATTTTACCTTAGTAATTAATAATTTTTGCTAGGGATATATAATAAAAATTTATATAAAATAATAAAGATAATTTATCATGATAACAGAGTTATCAGCTAACTCGGAATGCAGGGTTAAAATTGTCCGACAAATACATAACTACTTATGAAAAGAACAATGACATATAGTTAATAAAAACTTTATCTAGGTACATGCAGTATAATTTCCCATACATTAACTTAAACATTAACATATTTATTTATTTAAAATATGTTAACATAAATATATATGTTGCTAATTGAATTATTATCAATAAATCAGAAATTACATGTAGAAGAATATGACATTAATCGTTGTCGTGGATGATAGTCATTCCTCTCTTATTCGATTAACCTCATCAAAATATTTGACAATACTGAACAATTATGCCGGTATTTGAACCTTGTGGCTCAGTCCCTTTGATATATCAATACAAAAGAAAATTATGTCATAACTATGAAACACTTTAGGCGTCGTGCTTTTTTGGATGTCATCTCAATTATGACCATCACATATAAATCGTCACCGTCGGCATCATCATCACCACCATCACGAGTAAAACCATCGCTAACAGTGTCACGTCTTTTCCTTCCAATCATCACTACGTTGGAAATATCATCATGCACATCACCGTTTTATTTCTAATTTTTCCATCATTTCTTCACCATTTCTTACTTTTGCTATTTTCCCATCATATACTATATGTTAAATGTATAGTTATCTTTGCCCAAAAAAAATGTATAGTTATCTAATAAGTTTATATATTATTATAAATTATTTGTTGAATTGAATTATCACGATAACATATTATATATATATATATATCTATAAATTTATATTTATTGTGCTAATTCAGTTATCAGCTGACTAAATAATGCATGGGTAAAATTGTCCGAAAAAAGCATACCAAAATATGAAAAGAAGAAGGATATATACTTAATTAAAACTTCTTCTGGGTCTATGCAGTGTTATTCCCCAAGTTTTATCATGCTCATGTATTCTAATTCTGAATCTTATGCTTAATCGAATATATATGGGTCTTGTACTTACTTATATGTTCTTTTATTCTTTTGGCATAGCCGCATAGGTGGCTTTGTGTCGACATCAACCCTAACTTGGAATTCGCCTTAATCCGTTCTAGGATGATTTACTTGAATTGTCTTGTTAATCTCTTTTGTTTTAAGTTATAAATATTGCGCATCACAAAACCGGACCGGTGGTTCACACATGAAGTCCACCACATATTACTAAATATTTTGATGTAAATGTTTAAAAGCTCGCATATCTAATTAATGGTGGGGCGAGTTATAATTGACAATAATATGACAAAATTTAGTTAAATGAAATTGTTAATCTCCTTTTGACACCCTTAGGTATATAATTGCTATACTAAATTATTGGCTATTTAAATCACGAACTTTTTATATAGCCATTCAAAACATGAACTTTTCCTTGACTTAGTTTTTTAAAACATCATTTTTTGTTGACTAAGCCGAAATGAACATCATATCCAAAATCCTGTTAACAGAACAGCTAACAAACATTTAGCCATCACTAATTCATCTCTATTAGTAAGAGACAACGTCGTTTAAGGCTAAAATAAAATCCTCAAAAGAGAAATTAGGGATTTGATTTTTGGATTATGACGTTAGAATCACGATTTTGATATATCATTTTAGCATTAAACGGCGTCGTTTCTCACTAACAAATATGATTAACAATGGCTAGCTGCTCTATTAACGGATTTGAGGATATGATGTTCATTTCGGCTTGGTCAACGAAAATGATGTTTTAAAAACTAAGTTAACAAAATTTTCATGTTTTGAATGGCTACATAGAAAGTTCGTGATTTAAATGGCTAAAATGTAAAAGTTCGTGATTTAAATGACATTTTTCCCAAACTACAATATATTCAATTTTACGCCTTATCTAATATCACTACCACCACCCTCTACCACTATCACCACTACCACCATCGTACCTCCGGCCACCACCACCCTATCTCTGTTGGCTGTCTCCGGCCTCCACCACTAGTACCACCAAATCAACACCAAAATATGGTAATTTTCATAACCCTCTTATGTTTTTCTCTTAATTTCTTCAAATAGCGTGCTATATTCTGTTCACGGATTTGAGGATACGATATTCATTTCGGGTTGGTCAACGAAATATGATATTTTAAAAATTAAGTTAACGAAAAGTTTCTTATTTTGAATGGCCACATAGAAAGTTGTGATTTAAATAACAAAAATGTGAAAATTTGTGATTTAAATGATATTTTCGGGATTTTGGCATGGATGACCAACAAAAAATCTATATTTCACCAGCTAATCACTCTAACCTAATAAAGGCAGTATAGTGTATATATTATGTATTATTACCATAATTGGCCTCATGTCATGATACACAGTTGTTCCTTATCCCATTCTCTATAAGTCTACAACCCACCCTTTTCTAATACATACGTATTTACATATTAAAACAAACAAATACTGTATTTGCTTATGTTATATTTTTTACATTATAATCTATTTTTTTCATGTGTTTAATTGCGTAAAATATTTGACGTGCATCTAATTTGGTCAGTAGGATTGCCTTTGTTGTATCCTTTAGGGTATACATTTCTTATTCATTGTGCGTTTTAAGTAATTTGTTTGGGTTTTCTATGTTATATCCCTTAGGGTATAGCGTCTATAATTCAACATCGGTTTAACTCGGCAATGGTTAGTTTAGGTAATTTCTATTTCGTCTCTCGTTTTATCTTTTCACCATGGCCACAACTACATCCACCACTACCATTAAATTATTAAAGATTGTGTTACATACATAAATAGTATGTAGTATACTATTATATTTTATGTGTTTCTATATAGAACATATTTTCTTTGTTACCAATACTATTCATCATTGGAACCACTACCACACCGTATACCCACCACTTCTTTACTATATAACCACCACAATCTTCATCACCACCACAACCATAGCCCGAACCACGTCTACAATTACATCTACTACTTAAAGATTGTGTTAAATACTTATATAATATGTAGAATACTATTCTATTTTATGTGTTTCTATATAGAACATTGTCTTCTTTGTTATCTACTATTCATCATTCTAAAATTTTCATATCCAATTTGAAAAATTCAAGATATGTTGAATGCAGAAAAAAATGCAATTTTTTTTTACATAAATTAGAGAGTTTATATTAAGATATATTACTAACAAATATAAAGGGGTAAAATGTTTTATTCCAAAAAAAAATTAAAAACAAAAAATAAAATAAAAAGCTAGATTTTTCTTTATTATTTTAAAGGATAGCTTGGTCATTTTACAAGAGTCATGTGTTAGTTTCTTTATTTTTTACTTTATAGTGTTATATTCTTAATTTTATTATCTAGATTGATTATTCACCTAATTCACCCATATTTTTCCCCATATTCTTTACATTGTTTTTTTTTTTTTTTGGTTAGTTGGGCAAATTGGTCCTTTAAATATTATTCTGAGTATTTAAATTAATAAACGATCAAAATGGTTTGAGTGACCATCTTTTATTCCTAAAATCCAAAAACATCTGTTTCTTCTTCCTTCCTTCAAGCTTTCGGCGATTTTGTTTCATCCGCATCTCTGACAGGTGAATTGAATCATATAACTTGTTCTTCTGATTTATAGCTTCTCCACATGAACTCTTCGTTGTGATTTTGTGTGTTTCTGGTCTAGATCTTGAGTTCTTACTTGGTATCTATACAAATGCTTACATGGGTCTCGTTTAGTTTATTGATTTAAGTTAAATTTGCTGTGAAAAAATCCAAATTTTGAAATCTGAATTAGATTGATACTTGGAATCCAATTTGGGAAAATTATTATTAGGGAACACAAATTTGGTAAAATTGGAAGAACCTATGTAACAATTTGATCTAATGTATGAGAAGTTGTAGATAAAATCTTTTGTTAGGTTTGCTTCTTCTTATGTCTAATTGTGGCAGCAAATCTTATTCAAACAGGCAAATAAGTCACTTGTATGCTGTTTTCAAGTAAGCTCAATTCTCTAACAGAACAAGTTTCGAGATTTGGTATCGACGACGAAGATATGGGACTTGGAGGCAGTGAAAGTGAAACTATGGAATGCAAGTGTGGTATGCCTCTGTGCATCTGTGTAGCTCCTTCCAAACCAACTAACAAACCAAACCCACCGGTGAAATCTCGTTTCTTTGAGTGTGTTGTTTCTTATCTTACATTGTTGTGTTATATCTTCTGAAAGATGTTTTTGGAACAGGCTACTGTTGCTCCTGTGGCGATTCCTCAGTCAAAGGCGGAGACTTTATCGAAAAGTAAAGGTTCCACTTCCAGCAGCAGTTCGAGGTATGTTAGTGTGTTTCGTCTTACGATCAGGGTGAAGTTTAGGCTTAGAGTTTTACTCTATGAGCTTTAGATATTAGAGAAAGTTGTCTGTCTAGGCATTTGTGTCTTTGGATTTATTTGATTATTGCTAGGGAAGAAGTATCAATGCTAAATGGTTGCTCGCTCTTGCACTTCAAATGGACAGATCAAAGCTACTAGATTCATGTGTAATTGGTTTATCTGCGTTTGGTGCATTTCTGTAGAAATCTTGCTGTCTGAGTGAATTTTCTATGTCTTTTTGGTATTATAAACTTGCTGTCTTAGTGAATCTTCTATGTCTTTCTGGTATTTTGATATGTAATATAGCTTTTGCATATCACAGGTCAGCTTTAAATCCTGGACAAGACATCCCCCAAAGAGACTATGAAGCCAGTGGGGAGGTAACTCTTGATATTTCATTTCATTAATAAACCGTAGCTTATTGTTCTAGCAGATTAGTCATAGATTTTATGGAATGTGTTTGTAAAAAAGGGATTAAGGGAAGCAATTAAGAATGGTGATACTGCTGGTGTTAAAAAGATTCTAAAAGAGGTATCCTTAAATCTCCAGTTCAGAAGCTGTGCTTAATTAATAGTTCAGAAAGGCTAAAACTGTAAGAGTTTCAGGGCGTAGATGCGAATTACCGTGACAAACAGGGAATGTCAGTGCTTCATTTGGTAATTATCTCTCTCTCTCTCTTTAACTCTGCCAATATGTGATTGATTTGCTTTGGTAAGTCCAAATATTACTAATTTGAATAATCTTTTGGTTCCACAGGCTGTCCTATTTAACAAAACTGATATTTCGTTGATTTTGATGGATCATGGAGCAAGCCTCGACTACAAAAATGCACAAGGTAATTCTCATGTTACACAAATCTTGCCTTGATGATCTGTCTTATCAATGACCTGCGAGAAGCATTTTAGGGGGGAACAAGTGTGACTAGTGATTCATTAGTTTTGCGGTAGTTGTGAATTCGTGATCCCTTTATTTCTCGTGGGAACTTCTCTGGTTTCGCCTAAAGTATATGTTATGCATCACCAGGAGAAACACCGCTAGATTGTGCTCCCGCAACACTACAATACAAGATGCAGGAAAAGATGAAGTCCACTTAACAGCAGGCCTCATACAGAGGTACATATCATCCCTCAAACCTTTTTCCGATAAGGGGAAGATTTGTAATGGAAAGTTCAGGGGCTCACTTGTAAACTAGTTGCATCCTGTGTTCAATTTTTCATGTTATGTGATCTTTGAACCATCTTCTTCGTCCACTATGACATACAAACTCACCTTTTATTGCAACTAAAATGTCCAGTTGTTCAATTTACTCTGCATCCAAACGCAGCGCCTGAATTAAATCGCGTGTACATGATCGAACTCCCGAATGGTCGAATCCATTGTTAAAATCATGATACTCGGCAACAATCCTTGACTCATTGTCTCGAATAATAACACAGACTTTGTCTTCAAGATGGTCTACTCGAAACTTGTATGGTCCGTAGACTCAACGTTATAAGTTATGCTACTTACATTTGATTTGAGAATGCTAGATATGGTGTCGGTGGCTCATATAGGGCCTCGAATCTTGTGAAAGCCCAAAGCCCATGTTTAGGGACATGTGCACGTGAATGGTGTAGAAAAAATCAGTGTCAAACCCTATCTCCTCTCATTTTCTAGATTCTCTTCTATAAAATCCATTGAACCATTGGCTAGTATTAGCATCCTCACCCAAAGAACATACATATTCAACTTGTTCATATTGCTTGTAGATTGGTAGCTCTTATAAGTTCAAGACTAAACGTTTTGTTCACTAACCATGTTTGTTTCTTTGCTTGTTCTTTCTTTAGTTACATTTTTGGCATAATTCACTGATTCCATCAACTCGTTCAAGCACCAGCTCGAAGAAGCGTAGCTAATTTTATCTTCGAAGATTTGAAAAAAAGCTACGCTTCTCGAGAAGGTGCATGAGCAAGTTGATGCATATTTTGATCTGTAAAAAGACCAAAATTGGATCTCACTGTGATGATGTCAGTTTTATCTAACTCAAGAAGAACTCTCTGAACTTGTTCTTTATTTTCTTTTATTCCACTGTTAGTTTTGAGTGATTATATTGCTATTAAATAACTTAGCTAGATAAACTATATGGATTTAGTTTAGGGTTGAAACTGTAAGTTTATAGATTAACTTTGATTTCTCACTTTACATATGACTATTAACAGTGTGTTTTTGTGCAGTAAAAGTTGTTAACTCTAGTAACCATAGTGATACATAATAGCTTAGCCAAAAGTCACAAAATGTAAATGCATAGGTTTGATGAATTACTCTATCCTCTACTGTGGTTGTCTTTGTCTGAGCTTTAAAAGTCTTGGTCTTGTTAAACAAAGAGAGTAACTAGTGATAATAAGTAGATGTTGAAATTCTCACTTTGATGTAGCTTAGTTACCGACCAACCCATAATCATCTCATCTAAGTATCTTAAAATTACACGAGGACAAAACAAACAACAACACCACAAAGCAATTAGTACAAAGATATTCAGAAATTTTGAAATGCTCACTTAATAAGAACTTTTAACAAGATTGGGACATAGGTCTCTAAGGGGAAGATGGCCGAGAGAGAGAGAGGATTCAACTTGAGCGGATGAGGCCATGCAAGTAAGCTCCAGTCATCATGAGTGACACCACCGACACAACTCCGGCCGGGACCACTTTCCTCGACCTTAGGTAACGTGATCCCATCATCCCTGTAAGTGCAGCCGACCCCACTGCATAATTCCAAACAAAGAGTTAGATAGTCCAGAAGACATGAGAACTTAAGGTACTGCCTCCACTGTAACATACTTGAACATTGGATTCATCATAAGATGGTTTAAGATTTGCCAAGAATGAACAGGAGGTAAGAGAATATTACCTATGCCAATGGACGATGCTAAGACTGGATTCTTTGGGAGCTCCGTGGCTACGTAATAGAACAACGCAGCTGATCCTCCTCCTGCGACTAGTGATATTTTGCTTCCGCGTTTTAGGAAACCCATCAACCCACCAGCTGCAACAACAGTTGAAAGCATTATACGTTAGATGAAGATGACAACAGACTGAACACAAATTGCATCGAGGAAAGATTATTGAAACATTATGACCTAGCAGTCTCAGTACAAACTCCAATGATGATGCCAAACCTCACCACCAGATAATACAGCTATTTACTACAATCTAAAACTAAAACTTGCATTTCTGGACAGAACAGGACAATATATTTCTATCATCAAGTTAACAGCTAGCACACTTATTCACACAACAACACATGCTAAACTTGGTAACTACGCATTACAAAGCCAGGATAAATAGTACTCAAGACAGTGACAATGATAGAGATGTGAATATCTCGTGAAATCATGGGAACCAAATTATCTAATGGTTCCTTTCTTTCACTATCTTACCTTTAGTTATCTGCAGTCTCGTTATTTAAGTTAGTTAAACGGATGAGCATGTAAGAAACCAGAATATTTGAGCAAAAGTCTAGAGTCATTGTCGGATAACTATCGTTCTCCCTGATAAATGTTTGCGGTTTCTACTCTGTTAGTAATAAACCCCTATAAATTGTCTTTCAATCTCATCAAATCTAACTCCATCAGTTAGTCAGTCCTGGACGGATATCTCAAAAATGACACAAGGCTTTTTTAGTTCGACATGTATCAGATTCTATGGAAAAGACTCTAGAGCAGATTATATAGGAGCTGATCTTGAGACAGAACGAGACTGACCACCTTACGAAACCCCTTGTCACACTGTCCTATTTGAACAAACAACTCACAGTATAGCTAAACTAAAACAAGAAATGGATGATTCCATCGATACCATAGCCAAGACTAAGGATCAAGTCAAGCAAAACCTAGATTTGTCTAAAGAAGAAGTCAAGCAAACACTGATCATGTTTATGTATCTAACAAAAACATACCTATGTAATAAAACAATTACATAACGCTTATGTTATCAAATACTCTGATTTTACATATGTTATGATAGCTATATTCAAAATCTCAAGAATAAATTTGTATGCTCTCAAATACATACATCAAATTTAGTGACACAAGCTTAAGCTCAAAAGCAAGATTAAAACATACATGGTTCAATTGTAAATACCATTATCAAACCATTTGCCATATATTCCAAGAAAACATGAGAAGCTTATAGGACCAAACCAAAACTCAAAACCTAATTTGTATGTTGGTGTCTGAATATAACTAGATCAAGTCAACGAGATAATTTTGAATTTGGGAACACAAAGTAGGAAGCGATTAAGACTAATACCTCCGAGGAGAGAAGCATAAACAAGAGTGAGCTTCTGCGACACAGATGATGATGATGACTCCATCTTTTGCTTTTTCTCTGGAGACGAAGCAAAATGTCTCTGTCAAGAACGGCGTCATTGACTTGAAGATGACCTTATTGGGCCTTATTGGGCCGGATTTATTGAAGTTTTTTAATCTGGTCTATTTCAAAACAGTATATAGGCCCATATTTTATTGATGGTTAGTTCGGTTTACTACGGTTGGCCAATTCATACCTGACTTAATTACTAGTGTTTAATTCATACATTTGTATATGTGTAAATACATACAGTAAAACCACCATAAATTAATACTCTATAAATTAATAAACACTATAAATTAATAAATTTTGCTGGTCCCAAGTCGGGCCAATGTAAAAATTATCCAAATTCGATAAGATAATAAGATAATAAGGTTTTTTGAAATCCCTATGTAAATATAGTCCCAATAATATCATAAACTAATAATCACTATGTATATACATATATGTATATATATTTACGATATAAGTAGTTATTTTGAAATATGCTTTTAGTTTTTTCTAAAAATGAATTTCTCCTAAACTTCATCTCTATAAAAAAAAATATTTCTGTTATATTTTTAAATTATAATCTTATAATATATTCTATAACATCATATAATAACCATTTTTTATGTTTTCTATTATAAATATGCATCATATTCATTTTTTGTTTGTTTTATAGGATGGTAAAAAAATGGCAATTGAGGTATTAATCATAAATTTCAATCTATGTATGTACTATGTATAGAAGTGAATATATTTATAATATTTTTAATTCATTGCATTTTTATAAATATAGAATTCAAAATAAAAAAATTATATAATCTTAAAGACTAATCTTATTTTGTAAAATTTTCCCAATTCATAATTTCAAAAAAACTTTTTTTGAACTAAAATTTCAAAAAACTTTAAGAGTTAAAATACCACTATAAATTAATAATTATTAATTTACACTATAAAATAATAAATATTAATTTATAGATAAATTATATCACTATAAATTAATAAAATTCTGTAGTCCCAACATTATTAATTTATAGAGGTTTTACTGTAGTTAACTTTTTAACATACTCAAATTTCATACATGAAGCTATTAAATTGTGTGAAGTCATACATATTGCTGACATGGATGTTACGTCTTTAATGATGATGATGACGTGGTTGCTACATCCTCGATGACGTGGTAACCACGTCATCATCTTTCATCCCAAAAAAAAAAAAAATTCTTCTTCTGCATTAATATTATCCTACAAAATTGTGATTTTTTTAATGTAAAGATGTGGCATCCATGTCAGCAGCTGAGACAATGGATGTGTGATTTTGTACGATTTACGAAGTTCGTGTATGAAATTTGAATTTTTTAAAACATTAGGAAAGTATTGGCACATAAACAAATGTTAGATATAAATTGAACATTCATGTTTATGTTATGTATGGAATAACCAATTATCCTACGGTCAGGTTATAAATTGTGTTTTTACTCACAACAGGTTATCTTTACTATTAATTGGGGAGAATTTTAATTTTCGTAAGTGTTGCCAAAAAAACTTTAAAAAAAATATATCATTTTCTATACAATGCCAAATCCGTAGCCAAACATAATTTTTTTTGGAGACATAATTTTTATTGATAAAATATATTATATATCAAACTATGTAACTTTTAGGTAGTTCACGGGTTAGTTTGTTAAACTCACAATTATAATGGTTGAGCGAGTTATGAATAATGTTTTTACGAAATGAATTTTGCTACGGGACAGTCCTTCAAAAAAAAATATTGTAAGTATGTAATATTTACGTATATTCCTATTTTTACTACAAAAATAGTCAAACTGAATAATTTAGGGAATTTAATGAAAAAAACCTCCAACATTAGTCGGATCCATTTTTAAACCCTCACCTATTTTTTTAGTAAAAAAAACCCTGAAGTAAAATCCGTTAATGGATTTAACCCTCCGCTTAACGTTTAAGTCTATAATAGTGAATCGTTGTTTTAAATGAAATAAAACAACGAAGCAGTTGTTTTTAACGCCAAAAACAACAAGACATTTTCTTCAATTATTCTAATTTATAAAAAAACAAAAACTGACTTGTCATGATGTCATCTTGGAACTTATTAGAAAAACAACAAAATGTTTTCTCTTAAAACTAAAAGAAATATGAGTTCTCTCGTCTAGTTTTTTTGACAGTCGATTTTGAATTCTTTACTTTGGAGAAGCTGCAAAAAAAAACACATGACCAACATAAATTAATCCAACGTCTAAAGCTTAAAAAAACTGACCAACATAACCATCGAACTTGTTGCAACTCAATAACGTAACCAAAAAAATGATCATCAACCAAATAGCAATATGGTGTACATCATTTCCAAAGAGACTAGATACCCTAAAGTAAAGACTCGTCAGCATTAACTTTGAAGAGAAGATTGTATTGGCTGAGTGGTAGATTTGGAGGTCATGGGCACTACTCGGTGTGGTTTATGACAAACGAACTTCATATTGTTTTTGGCGTTAAAAACAAATGCTTCGCCGTTATATTTCATTAAAAACAACGACTCACTATCATAGACAGAAACCGTAAGCGGAGGGTTAAATCTATTAACGAATTTTAGTTCATGGTTTTTTTTACTAAAAAAATAGTTTAGGGTTTAAAAATGGATCTGGATAATGTTGAGGGTTTGTTTTATTAAATTCCCAATAATTTATAATTGTATCAAAACTCAATATATTATTATTTACTCGCTTTTTCCTTTTATTATTTTATTTAAAATAGGAATATACGTATTTTATTAATGAGAATCTGTAAGTCTCTAAATATATAGTATTGATGAGCTATGATAGATTATCTTTCATATATTGAACATCAACATGTTTTTTAATTTGTAATTCTAACAATATTGAAGCTCATACACTAGATACAAAACAAGCTAGAGAAATTGAATTCCGTAAATCAAAATTCTCAACTCTATACAATATCATTATTGATGAAAAGGAAGTTTATAAGATATTACAAATATGGATGAGTTTACAAGAATTTTACCAGTTGCTCATGGAAGAATTCCACGAAAGTGAGGAAACTACAAAAGCCTAAAAATCAACAAATGATAAGGATCTATTTCTATCTTTATGTAAGACATTATAAAGAATCAACATAATTTGAAGTTTTTTTAAATCAACCTTTTAAACAAGAAAGAATTACTTAGATGGACCACATTTTAGATATATTGACGCAAACCATCCAAAACTTTTTTTATCCTTAAATGTTTTTTAATTACCAGCGTGCCCTTTTTACACGTTACCGGAAAAAACTAATTACGGAAAATGCCACTGCCACGTCAGACAAAAAGGCGCGTGCCACCAATAACTCAGCCATAACGTACGTTACGGCTGAGTTATATCACGTTATGGCTGAGTTCTGGGACAACGGCTGAGTTTCGGGTCAATGGTTGACTTATGATCATAACTCAGCCAACAGTTACGACTGACTTATAAAAATCTGGTTGAGTTATGAGAAAACGGCTAATAACTCAGCCGCCGTTACGGCTGAGTTATAGTCCGATGGTTGAGTTATCAGAAGTTTGGCTGAGTTATGTTATCGACACGGCTGACTTAACTTTCTCCGGGTGGCTGAGTTATCGATAACGGCTGAGTTATCAAATGTCGTTACGGCTGACTTATGTTTCAGAGACATAACTCAGTCGTAATTGGCTGACTTAACGGAAAACTCAACCATGTTACGGCTGACTTATAGACAAAAGATTTATTGCTAATATAGCCCCCAGTTACGGCTGACTTATTTTACGTTACGGCTAACTTATTGACGTTACGGCTGAATTTGGCATCTTAAAAAACATTTTAGTAATTACTT